CTGCTGCACATTGAGCAGATGTTTTCAGGGCCAATGACGCTAAGATCTTTTTCTTGAGTGGTAACAGCTAATTTAGACCCCCGTGTTTTGTTGGGATTATGTTTCCCAATGTGCTTTACTTTGCATTTGTCAATATTGAATTTCATCTGCCATTTTGTTGCCTAGCCATCCAGTATTGTGAGATCCGGTGGAACACTTCACAGTTTGTTTTGGACTTAAGTCTTGAGTAATTTTTTTTTTCAGATTTTGTCACCTCACTCGTTAGCCCCCTTTCCAATGGCATTTATTAATATGTTGAACAGCACAGATCTCAGTACAGATCCTTGTAGGACTGGGAGGGTATGTCTGTACTACAGCGTTTTGTCGGGAAAACGGCCGTTTTTCTGAGACGAAAATCGAAAGAACGGGGGTTTTTCTGACATTGGTAATCCTCATTCTACAAGGAAGAAGCCTTTTTCTGAAAGAGCTTTTTCCGAAAAAGACGTGTGTGGTCAGGGAAGAGGGAGTTCTTTCGCAAGAAGAGGAAAGAGGAAAAAGCACAGGTGCCCTGGTGGCCACTCTGTCCATAATAATCACCGCTTACATGCAAGATAGCATCCATTCAGTGTGGACGCTCTCTTTTGAAAAAGCAGATCACTTTTTCAATGTGCTTTTGCTGTATGGATGCTTTCTTTGGGAAGACATTTTTCCAGAAGATCTCTTCTGAAAAATGCTTCTTCCGAAAGAAGTGTGTAGTGTAGACGTAGCGTCACAGAATGCACCTCTGTGACCATACCCCAAACATGATTGTAATAATCGGTGTTCAAAGTATACCTTGAGGTATCATCTGAAAACTCATAATTTGCTGATCTTTATTACCCTGATAAAATGTATAAAATGCAGCACCTTTGTGTGTGAAATTACAGGATTCCTCTGCAAGGTATTAATACATGTTGCAAACTGAGGTTAGCAAACAGGTCTGTCTCCAAACAGAGGAATTTGTGCTGTGCCTACTTTGCATTTAAGCTGTAAACCCTAAAAATTGGCACTGGATTTAACGAACAAAACTCTGAAACTCGGTAGGTGTTTCAGATTTAAGGTCTGTGTAATTTGTCAAAAAGGATGTAGCCCACTCTAGCTATCCTAGAGTCATTCGCTTTTGCCAACAAGTGAAATGCTGAGGAACGCCGCAGTTGAAAGAAAACTACCAAGCAATATTATTTGTTTTAATCCAGTACTGACTAGAATAGCAGCCACCGAGCGTTTATACTGGCTAGTTTCATTATCTTTGTATTTACTAGGTACACTTCGTTCATTTCTTCCCAATCATCACAACAACAACAACACCCACTTCATAGGTGGGGAGGGAGAATATCAGTTGGATGGGTGGGTATATATTCTCCTTCCAAACCGCAGCCCAACCTCTCTGTAACCTGAAGTGTTTGTTCCAGACTTTTCTAGGAAGCGTGCCCATTGAACTGTCAGAACAAGCCACAACCTCTAACTGCATTTCTTAAAGAAACTGTATTTTACCGATTCAATCAAGGCATAGCTATTTAAATATTGAGCTGCTGCGTTTCTATATTGACCACCATTCCAATAATCTAGGGTTTGTCTACACTACAGAGCCATTGCTGGGATAGCTATGCCGGCAGAGCCCTCTAGTGGAGACATGGAATAAGTTGACAGGAGTTTTGCTGGAAGAGCGATATGCTGTTTCCACGAATGACATTAGTTAAGCCTACAGAAGGGTTCTTTTTCGGCACAGCTGCATCTACGCCAGGCTGGGATACTTAGCTTGGCTAAGGGGATTGATTTTCTTTTTTTCACGTCTCGTCAATATTGCTATGACAGCAAAACTTTGTAGTTTGAACTAAGGGTACATGTAGGCTGAGGGGGTTTTCCGGGATATCTCCAGGTTTTTCTGGGACACCTCTGCTGCGTCCAGGGAACGTATTTTGCGCGTCCACTCTTTTTTGTGGAAGAGCAACCGCAACCTCCTCCAGGTCCCAGGCTCCTTTCCCCACCAGTCCAGTGTTCACTCTTGGCTCTCGATCCCACACGCAGCCAGGCCTTGCAGGCCACCCTCCCTAGCCCACCAAGGGCCTCAGCCATGTTTGGCATGAAATGGAGGCTGGGGGAGGGGGGAATTATCACGCAGGGCCCACAGTCCTTGGCCAATTTGGGGCCTCTGGAAAAATCTCCCCCCGCCACGGCCCTAGGGTTAAAGGAGCTCTTACTCCCTGGGGTGGCCACAGCAATGGGGGACAGAGGGAGAAAAGAGCAAACGGGGCAGGACCTGGGGGTGAAAGAGGCTGGATGAAAGGCAGGGCTTCAGGGAAGGGGTGGTGCAGGGGAGGAGCTCCAGGCCCAGAGCTCTGCCGCTGCGGCCCCTGGCCGGGGGGAGCTCCAAGTTCAGCGCTCCAACCAAGCTCTGAGCTCTGCCGCAGTCCTGGCAGGGACTGAAAGTGTGACCCTCCACAGGGCTGAGCTCATAGCATTTTCTGCTTGTGCCAGCCAGGGCCATGGGATGCGGGGGGTGAGGTGGAGGGGGGGCTTAGAGGGTGGGGGAAGCTTCCCCCCAGCAAAGGCTCCTTGTCCCAAGCCCATACACACACCAGGCCTGGTCCCTCACTCCTTTACATTTTTTCAAGCCAATTCCTCCTCCTCCTCCGTGTTAGTGGAGCATTGAGAGCCCAGGAAAGTTTCTCTATGGTGCTGGTGCATATGCAATTTGGTCCCATGTATGAGGGGGTTGGCGCATCTTCACTGCGGACAGCATGCGCTCAGACTTTATTGCCGAATGCTAGCCTGACACCAGGCCTGGTCCCTCACTCCTTTACATTTTTTCAAGCCAATTCCTCCTCCTCCTCCGTGTTAGTGGAGCATTGAGAGCCCAGGAAAGTTTCTCTATGGTGCTGGTGCATATGCAATTTGGTCCCATGTATGAGGGGGTTGGCGCATCTTCACTGCGGACAGCATGCGCTCAGACTTTATTGCCGAATGCTAGCCTGTAGGTCCTGAGCGTGTACTCACCGAGGCTACGTCTACAAGACGAGTC